CGCCTTGTTAACGAGTGCAAAACAAGGACGAAACATAGGTCAGATTGGGCATCCTGTCGACTGCCTTCAACCATCCCACAAAATTATTTTCTTTTCTATTCCTCTAAAACTGACTTTTCATGAATGTAACTATGTGTTCCGTCTAATGATTATTATGAATATTATTATTATTTCCTTGGGTTCCGAATAAAATATCCAGCTTTAACAACACATCTTTATTTCATCTTGTTATCTGTAGTTCTTTATAACTCACTCCACGATTATCAACAAACTTTCACTCACTCCTCATTCAAACCATCTCCTATACATCAACCCTCTGACTACCGCCCAATTCATTTGTTATCACTTGAGTTCCACCCAAAGAGTGGCCTTGAGCATGATGTCACTCAATGGTTTCCTCAGTATATGTAACTAAGGAGACTGTAAACTCATTTAGTAAATAAACTGGCTGGTCCTAAGTCCAGGAAAGAAAATGGAAGGTTAGGCCTCCAAGCAAGTAACCCCGACCACTAAAAATAACACCATCGTTACTGAAACTGAAGTGCTTAGGCTTAAAGCCTTATGTTTCACTTGGAAAGCTAGAGAATGCAAGAAAAATAAAACACCAATTCCACATATCAAACCATTAAACACTATATATATAGCATAACCGCTCTGTTCCTTGACTTGGTAGATCACGCAAGATACGACTTCTCACTAGAAAACCAGGTAACCTCGTGAACAGACTCAGTCACCAGTGTGCATCGAACTATCACGTGTTCAAATGTAGGGGCGTGACTAGTTTCCGCCGATGACGTTCTCTGGCAACACAGAGAATTGGCAGAAATTGGAATACACTGGCTAATACATTGCGTCTCAGTGGCTGGATGGTTTACGGGCTCACCTTGTAATTTGAATGTCTCGAATTCGAACCCCAGTGGGTGCACACTGATTAAGACTCACAAACTCAGACAAAACAGGTGTCTAGTACTCCCTGATTTTCCAATGGTTTCTTAACTTATTTTGTAACTGTAACAACCTGAATACAATCCAATGAAAAGAATACTTTTCGTTTACACCGACTTTTGATATTTTCCAGTGTTTCAATGGAGATTTCATCATGACAGGATATCAGTTAAAAAGGCATTTAACACCAAAGATTGTTAAACAGTTGTTTAGTTTAAATATGGAACTCTTCAACAGTGAATAATTATGACCCCGCCGACCGATGGTAAGACAAGTACATTGATCATTCAGCTATGAATTTTGTCAACTCGTGGAAAATTGACAATGAAAATCCACCTTACATCCGACATGGTAGACGGCTCACCAGCCATAGCTTCTTGTCAGAACTTCATGACATGCATTCGAAAGCTAGCCACTAATAAGCGAGATTTAATGGTCAATTTTTTAGGATTTTCATTGGATTTCAACTGAAATTAAACAATATCCTGAAAAACATTAAAATGGTGGAAATGATAATATTTGTCATTTGTGTTCCACTGAGAAACACCTTTCCTTTCTTAGTAATTCAGTGCTTGTATGATTTTTATTCTTCAATAATAATAACAGTAACAACCAAAAAGGAGAAAGAAAAACAAAACCAGTGGTCACGAGTGTCGGTCATCAACACTTATTTTTTGTACAGCTATCATCACAATTTAATCAACTACAAATAATTAAAAGCAATGATAGAATTATACTAAATTCTTGATGGTAAACATTTAATCAATGACTAAACACGTGTACACATATTCTCATTCTGACACAATATCGATTTTTTTACTGTGCATCTCAGCAGACTTGTACCGTATTCTTCTCCTTTGTTTTTCTTTGTATACACATTCACTTTATTTGATTCACTACAAAGTTTTCCGGTTAATTCCATAAATTGAATTAATTAATAACATTCTTAAACATGCATCCATACGCGTGGTGGTGGTGATGGAAGTGCATAGAAGTGCACCGGCTTAACTTTTCTCACTCCATATAGTACACAAAAGTAGAGAAAGCAGAGATGAGAAAGAAATTCAAAAGAACTATTATAGATGGTAAGAGTCGAGCGTTCATCGACTAGGAGACGAACGCGCATCAAGTATGTGTTTAGGGACTCCTTTTTATATTGATTACACGTCTGTAATTCAACCGACTTTTGCCTTGTAGTAAACCCAAAGACAATAATACTAGTGAAGCATGTCTGTTGTTAGCATACTTCTGGGTGAGTGAAACTGGTAAAAACGTATGAAAGAAACTCTAAATACTGCAAAGGCCTTTCGTCCTAGTTTGCTACTCTTCAGCAGTACATTCGTATAACCCCACCAGAGATTGGATCAAGCTTTTTGAGGTAACAAGGCAAGCTCAGCATTTGCGTGATATGGATTGCGAATCAGCGGAAGCTGAAATGCATGAACAGTTGGATTCTATCCCAGTGGATGAACGATCTATGGGCTCCGCTTGTAACCTCAGTAGGGGCATGAGTGTGCACTGCTGAAGAGTCTCAAAGAAGGACGAAAGGGTTATTCAATACTGTGTGATTTACAGTGTTTCTGTGTCTGGAGTCAGTTCCGGACCAGAGGTGAAATCAATCAATTCTCTACAAAGCAACTCTTGAAAAACCCTAAGTAATTTATCAATCAATAGATATTAACAGAGTATACAAACGTCAACAAGAAAATAAAAATGACAAAAGCTCATAGATAATACCAATCTATGTTACTTTCGTTGAATCAGCCCTAACTATACGTCTGATATTTGAAAATAAACTTGAAGCTATTTTCATCGTGACTGATAGGACAACCACAAGATTCCGATGATTTCAGCCTTTTACCTTGACCCTGATATTGTCTTATTGTTGTTGATGACATTTTCTACTCCGATATAGCAGTCCCTAGTGTACGGTTAGACAAGTGATGAAGAACACCTCCATCTCAAGAAAATTAGAAGAATAACAATCGAAGTTCGCAATAGCGAAATCAGACAAAACTTAACAGGAGATAAGAAAACCTAACACCTACTCATCAAGTGATTGAAAATTGAGAACAGGGTTCATGCTCAGTCTCAACTTCCAAAATTTTCTGACCAAATATCTACTGTAGCTACTAATGTGAAGAAAAAAGGTAGTGAAATAAACCTTTTTTTCTAATCGCTTGAATTAGTAAACAGATTCCATGCTTCAAGTGGACTTCCCGATCATCAAGTGGATAAGATTGACACCTCTCTTCGTGATTGACTCGTAGACTCGTAAATCGCTAGTGTACATGTCCAAAGATGTAGAACCGCGGCTTTTTATCTCTAGAGGGACTAAATATAGATTTCAATTCCCAATGGTATCATTTTTACCAAACTGTGTACGTCACGGATAAGCAAAAATTATGAACAATAAGTTGTAACTGATACATATCAGAACAGTACACAAACAGAAGGTGAAGAAAAGAGAGTACTACTTAAATGAAACAATATGAACGTAAGAAAAGGTATAACACTTTATTAAAGGGAACAATTACTTGATTGGTGGTCGCCACCAATGAAATTCATCATATGAGTTCAGTGCAATTTGTGGCTCCTCGGCTAGATGTATCTGCATCCTCCTGAATGATGCTATTTCTGTCAAGATCTAAATCCAGTGCTCATCGTTTTATACATCAAAGTTTTACCCACTAGGTTATTGAGACAAGTGAGATACTGAGGGAACAAATGGAAAAATATGATGGTCTGTTGAGCAGTTCGATTTACGACTTTATAATCGCCAGTGCATAAAATTTATTTCTACCTTAGTTGATATTTACCTCTGTCTGTCTGGATTCGACATAGAACTTGGCATCGAAGTGCAGCAGTTCGAGTTGCCACATTCCAAATAGCACACAAAGGTAGACAAGAAGATGAGTGAAGAGAATCAACAGAGTTTGACAAGTATAAGAGTGAAACAGAATGGGTAATTGTAAAAAGGAATATGAAAGATTATAGACAAAACTCCCTGATTTTCCAGTGGTTCTCTAAATGATATTATTTCGCGACCTAACTTGAAATCGATGAAATCCAAGGAAACTAACACGTGAAAGAAAACCGACGTCATATAAGGAATATATTGTATAGAATTCAGAAAACTCTATCGGCGACGTACTGTTCTTCTTTGTGTTCATGAACACAAACTACAGATTAAAGGACATGAAATACATCCATTCTTACCAAATGAAATGAACAACCACGGAAACTAATACAACTTCAGTGATATAAAAATCTTAGACAGAGAAAATACAAAGAACACGATAGATTTCCTGAGGGAATGGAACTCAAATCAATTTACAATGCATATGCGTGTGAATGAAAATAAAATATCCAAATCAATACAAACAACAGGTCGTACTAGCAATAGATGAAGAATCAGGTCAACGAATATAAACGGGATAAAATTCGTAGTTCGAAGTTTACACAATTTCAGGTGAAGCCTACCTAGAGTTTCCCCTGGGGATCGAAACTGTTCAGATCAAATATGTTATCTGATCTGGTTGATGCCATAAATAGCAAACAATAAGCATATATAAATGCATGGTGACAAGCAGCAGTGCTTACTAGCTAACCAGCTCAACAAAGTAATCTAAACACCAGACGGTTGTCTCGCTCGTTCGAGGACAAGCTTATCAGCGGTGCATCATGTTCGGCTCAGCTCAAAGAGCTAAATCAGCTGAATCTACCGGAATTCTGGCTCATTACTTGAGTGAAGTGATAATACTTTGGATGAGATTCGCAATTCGCAAACGATCGAAACGTCTATAGACGAGGGTTTTAGACCTTTTCGATAATCTGGCTAGCTAGCAAGCACTACTGGTTGATGTGGGTAACGGTAACCAACTACTGATATCAATCACTAAGTAGCATATAATAATATCACGCATCTGAATATAAACTGTTTGTTTCACGAGAGACAAAACCATGAGCCAATTTATTTATTTCTATTCGAAACTTTCAATAATGAAATAAAAAAAGAAATCATTTGTTTTCAAAAATATTATTTCACAACTTACACGGATTCATCATAAAATAGAATCGACTATACTGATCCAACCAGACTAGAGCAGTTCGTACGAAATTCTTGTATAATATATTACTAACACCACCAGGCCAAGTGTACGGTGATGACTTACGAAACACATGTCCAACACGACTGCATGGATCAATCAACAATTCACCTCCACATTGCCATACACGAAATGATAATTCAATATTTTCACCACCCCATATCTCCATACCTTCATCATAAGCGCCAAGCTAAAAAAAAGATTATGAAGGCATACAGAGTGGCATGTTTTTAGTATTCAAAGGGAATATTGGCTACACTTTTAATTTATATACATCAGAAGTGGATGGAAAAATTCTGCAGACAGCATAAGGAAAAGGATTCACATTCTTAACAGACTGATTGGTTCCAATGTAGAGCTTTGCACAGAAGTGCTATAGTTGGAGGTGCTACACTCGATGTATCAGTCACACAAAGCGAGAGAAGAGAGGTAATAAACACAAGTATGAGGAAGAAAGAATAGTAATATGGAAGAAGAGTAATAGAATTTTATTGGATATGATAAATTACATTCTTAACACTAATGTCACGTCGGTGTTTATATATGCATCAGAGACTTGGAGTGCATGTCACTAAAACCATTTAACAACAGACTTCAGATTTTCACCAACAGTCACCTTCACCAACTCTGTAATGAAGATAAGATGGCCGTACGGAAAGGTGAAGGACATAGGAAACTCTAGAAACGAACCAACTAAGATGCTGTTTACCAAGGAAATGCAGTTGGATAGAACACACGCTGAAGGGACCTTTGAAAGACATCGTGCGCCAGGCCATTGCTCCAGTGGAAGCCAATCCGAAAAAGATGAGTTGGGCGTTTCAGGGTGGTATGGAAGAGATTGTATAAGGAAGGAATGAGCCTTTATAGGCAATCGTAAAACCAGGCAAATACAGCTGCAGAGTACATGATGAAATAGAGAAGTGCTACTGAAGCCCTATGTTTCACTGGGAAGTTATAGGGTGAATAATAATACACAATAATTAAAAATATGTATATACATATATAGTTCAGATAAAGCTCTGTTGCATCTGCAAACAGTCAGAAGTTGTTTTACCTCAGCACCATTGTGATTCTGAGATTATTATTGGAACACCATCGTTTTATAGACATTGTAAGGAGATTCCTCTCAGCCTGAAGAGCTTATGCTGATAATTACCAACGAACCTTGCAGGTATCCGTCTGTTATTTTTAAAGGGTGACCTGTGTTAGTCTTGAATCTAGTGAGCAGCAATATTTAGTTGCAAGAGTAGGTAATATCAATTCACGTATATGATTCCGTCTAGTGTAATACATACGATTATCACCGATAAACATAACCAACTTAGGAAAGAATAATATTCCAGGATGACAAACAGTCCCTTGCCTGTCTGTCTGTCTGTTTTCGACATAGAACTTTGCACAAATGTGCGGAAGTTCAAGTCGCCACATTCCGTGTAGCACGCGAAGCAAGAGAAGAAAGTACAAGAAAAGCATAATAGAAACAGTGAGCAGAGGTGTGAGACAAAGGAGTAATAAAGAAATACAAAACAATTTCATTGAAGATCATAAGTCACAGGGAGTGGATGCATCTGCGCCACTGAGAACGATTTTGAGCCATGTCACCAATTGTTTCCAACCATAGATTTTTACTGTCTCGAGGACCCCAACCAGTCAGGGAGTCTACACCTTTCTATGTGGCTTAGACCAGCTGTTGTGGATTTCATTGACTGGTGCCAAGTATTTGTTTGACCGCCGCTAGCTTTTTTCCAGCCTGACCCTATATCCGCTAACATAGCTCGTCGAGGGAGGCGATGGCTTGGCATACGTAACACATGTCCTAACCATCTCAGTCTTTGTAGCTTCACGACTTCGTCGATTGATTTCCCCTGTTTACCTAGAACTCTACGCCTAACCTCCATGTTGCTCACCTTATTATGCCACTTTACACGGGAAATAGAACGCAGGCACCTATGATCAAAGACAGCTAGTCAGCCTCTTCATGTCTTCCACTCTCAGTGGCCAGGTCTCACAGCTGGCCATAAAGGAGGACGGAGCGGACTGATGAGCAGTACACCCGCCCTTTGGTCGATAGACGAACATCTCGTCTACGCCAGAGTCGGCGTAAACTAACACAGGGAATTTGGAAACACAAGTATGTAGAAAATCAACGCACATAGAGCAAATACTCAACTATAATAGTAATAATTCAATGAGCCAAAGTAAATTGTGTACAGACATTGTTTAAAAGTGCCCAACCACATTGTAGCACTATTTTACTGAAGAGAATGGAAGAGAAATATCTAATGTCTTTAAACAGAATGAAATACCCATACAATTTCATCAAAAAGTGTTTAAACATAAATCAATCGACGGGAAAATCAAAAATTCAATTTAATAATTAATTTGAATAAAGCGAGAACAACATTGATTTGTGCAGAATAACATGGTACCATCATTTATTTCGTTGGCTTCTCGTCAGCTGCTTACAGCCTAAATAAATTTTCAGGTTTAAGTACAGAAACGTTTTAACGTACTTGCAAATTTTACATGTTGACAGAAAGTTTCACAACTAGTAAACAGTGCTCAGAAAATTGCGCTTATATAGTTTTTACACAGGCAGTTCAAGTTAAAAAATAATAAATAAATGTATGTATATAATGGTAAGGGATGTGCGTTGGATGCATAGTGACTAATAAGTTAGGTAACAATGTACTGAGTTGAACTGAAATCATAGAAACAAGAGACAAACAAAATTAGAGATTATAAAAGAGGGTGAGGTTAAAGACAAAGATTACGCAATCAGATGGGAGAAAAAAGACATCCAGTTACCAAGGCAAGGAAAGACTAATAACTGATTCTTTCTGAACACATAAATCTGGTTTCAAGCGTTTGATAGAAATTGCTTCGGCAAACTTGAGGACAATCGAGCTCCTTTGTCTATTGATAATTTTGAAGGATTTCTCGATTTCCACCTCATGACCCGTGTCGAGGAGATGTCTGGTAATAGCGCTACTATAAGAGTTTGTTCCCTTGAGACGTAGGCTTTTCGGCACATGTTACATTGGGAGAACAGAAAGAAGGGCACACCTCCGATTTTCTGAACATGTGCCGAAAAGCCTACGTCTCAAGGGAACAAACTCTTATAGCAGCGCTATTACCAGACATCTCCTCGACACGGGTCATGAGGTGGAAATCGAGAAATCCTTCAAAATTATCAATAGACAAAGGAGCTCGATTGTCCTCAAGTTTGCCGAAGCAATTTCTATCAAACGCTTGAAACCAGATTTATGTGTTCAGAAAGAATCAGTTATTAGTCTTTCCTTGCCTTGGTAACTGGATGTCTTTTTTCTCCCATCTGATTGCGTAATCTTTGTCTTTAACCTCACCCTCTTTTATAATCTCTAATTTTGTTTGTCTCTTGTTTCTATGATTTCAGTTCAACTCAGTACATTGTTACCTAACTTATTAGTCACTATGCATCCAACGCACATCCCTTACCATTATATACATACATTTATTTATTATTTTTTAACTTGAACTGCCTGTGTAAAAACTATATAAGCGCAATTTTCTGAGCACTGTTTACTAGTTGTGAAACTTTCTGTCAACATGTAAAATTTGCAAGTACGTTAAAACGTTTCTGTACTTAAACCTGAAAATTTATTTAGGCTGTAAGCAGCTGACGAGAAGCCAACGAAATAAATGATGGTACCATGTTATTCTGCACAAATCAATGTTGTTCTCGCTTTATTCAAATTTATCAAGGGGAATAAATGCATGAAGTTAATAATTAATATGACCCGTTGCATAAGAGGTGGCTCTCGTGGCCCAAGTGGTCTAGTGGATAACGCTTTGGCGTTTGAAACTATGGGCACTGGGTTCGAGCCTCGGTGGGAACATCATCACTCACTGAGAAATGCAGGTACATCCAGCTGACGAGTCCCAAATAGGACGAAATGCGCATCCTGGATTCCACTGCTAGCCACCATCCACCAATTGTATACAAATCAAATCCCCAGACATCGTCGAAGCATCTGCACAAGAAGCCGACATGTCAACCTGAGACCGAGCACTTCGGTCCAATCAATCGAGGGGAAAATCGAAAATTCATTCCATAAATCAAAATAACCAACAAGAAACCATCCTCAAAAACTACATAGAGAATATCTCTGAAATAACGGCTAGAATATTAAGACCATTTGAAATAGGCATAGCACACAATTCAACAGAATCACTTTATTCAATGTTCTGCTGATCACCAAAGGATCGAACAACAAAAGAAGATAAGATCAATACCATTGACACCATTGTATCCCGGTGGGTGCGTACTGCTGAAGAGTCCCGAACGAGGACTAAACAGCAGTCCAGTACTCCCAGGTTTTCCAATGGTTCTCTAACTAATGTCAGCTCATGATGAAATCCTGAAACCAATCAAATCCCTACAAACCAACATTTAAATTGACAAGATAAATTACATAAACTGCTTTAAAGACTACAATGGTCAAGGTGGGCATCCCTTACGAATCAGAATCCAAAACAAATAATTAGCTGTGAAAAGAAACGATATGCATTCCTTCACATCAATTCATACAGACAATTATGAATACTAATTTGATTGGGAGGATGTAAAAATTTTAAACAGAATAAATACCAAAAATTCCAGGGAATTTCTACTAGCCTGGTACTCCAATTGAATCAGTAACTAACGCTAACACACACATATTACTATAGACCAAACTTATTAACTTATACATAAATCAAATGATAAGAAAGTTTCAAGTTAGTAAAACTGATCGATTGAGATATAAATTAAAAACCAATCACAATAATGTTTGTCAGGAGATACAATTATATCATCAATCATGGCGAATTCGAGAAAGTTTATTTCATACTAAGACCTGAGCTGAAGATGGTGTCTCGAAGGATGACGAAAGTTTCACAATCCAATCAACCAACTCAGAGAATACATCTATATTAGCATCACCATCATCTGGTCTGTTAGTCTAACTCTCTCTCTCTCTCTCTCCTTATTTACCATCAGAACAATTCTGATTTGAATCTAGACACTAACCTAGTGTATTCAAGTGCCTAGCTGGCAATAAACGATACTTATTTAGTTTTCAAGTTTTGGTTGAAGATGAGGCAGTAACTCATCGAGGAAGACATTACGAAGTGGTCGCGCTATGTCGTGAATTTGCAGAAGTTAGAATT